TCCACACCAAATTAATTTTAGTCCAGGGTCACAAGCTAGAGGTTATATTCAAAAGGAATTTTTTAGTGATAAATGAAACTGATTTAAAACTTAGTTTTTTGATACTTATAGTAAAGAGGATTTAAATAATATTTCTCAAGAATTTTATAAAACTTGTGCTTTACATAATCAAATTATGTATTTTGTTCCTTGGTTTATAACCACATATTTACCACTTTTTATAAAAGTTTTGGAAAGATCTTATAAAGACGGAAGTGGCAATATTACTAAAGCCACCTACCCTCCTCAAGCACCTTTTATTTTACCTAATAATATATGTATTACTTTTACTGTATTTTAAAAATTTATTGATGAAGATGTTGCTGCAGTCAGCATCGCAGAAATTAATAAATTAATTTCTCAAAATAATTATTTGAGTTTATATGTTAAAGTTTTGGGTGAACACATAAGTTCTCTTGATAAAAAACTTATTGACTTGACAGCTTTGATAAAAGAGATGAGTACTAGCAAGAAAATAACTGATATTGCCTCTACTTCAGGAAGCAAATCAGAACCTCAAATTATTTTTACTCATGTTCAAAGACCTCCTGAGATTCAGGTTTGTAAATTTAAATCTTTAAATGATTTAGAAGAACTTCTTGATAAAAAGTTATCCGGTTTGAATATCAAACCCATTGATTTATCAAAAGATTTTGCTAATAAATTAGATACTACTTTTGACTATAAAAAGGATGTTTTGTCAGAGTTTAATAAACTCAGAGGTTATCCCAAAAAGAATAGTAAGTTTGTTGATAGCAGATATGCTGATAAACCCAGAATGCAAACTTATTATTACAATCGTCCTACTCCTCAAGATGTTTTAATAGAGAAACATGATTGGAATCAGACTAATATGTCTTACAGTGGTTCCAAAATTTACGAGTGGAATCTTGATGGATTGACTGATAGACAATTGACTATTCTTGTGCATAGAATGCTTATGTATGCAACTATCTGTAAAAGTGTGAAAAATACAGATAGAACTATTTGCAAAATGATTGTTGCAGGTTTTACTGGCCAACTTCGTGATTGGTGGGATAATTATTTGACTGTCGAAGAAAGAGCAATGGTTATTAATGCTCAAGCCCCTGATGAAGGAGTTGATAACTTAGGCATGGCCCTAGTGGCAAATAGAGAAGATGTTGTTTATACTCTTATTCTTACTATATTAGAATACTTCAACGGTAGATTTATCAACCAGTATGAGACAGTTTGTACTCTCCTTAATGGTCTTAGATGTAAGACATTAGGTGAATTCAGATGGTATAAAGATACCTTTATGAACAGGGTTATGAAATTACCCGAAAACAAAAATGACCATTGGAAAGCTAGGTTTATAGATGGCCTTCCCTCTTTATTTGCTGAAAGAGTTAAAAAGGTTCTAAGAGGTAGCTATGGTGAAATCCTGTACAACAATTATACCTATGGTAAGTTGATAGGGATATGCACACAAGAAGGATTAAACTTGTGCAATGAGTTAAAATTATCCAGACAGCTTAAGATGGATAAGCTTAAAGAAAAATCCCAGTTAGGAGATTTTTGTACTCAGTTCGGTCTACCCGAGATTTCTACTCATAAGAAGAAGAAACATAAGTATCATAGATGCCCCAACCAAGACAGTCCTTACCTTGAAGCCTCCAAGCAGCAACACAACGTACTAATATCGGGGCTGGTAAGATGCACCTGGATCTGCACAAAGATATGTGAAGAAGCGTAATATGGGTACACCACAATGGTACCCAATAAGTGTCAAGCCTAACTTCAGTAGAGTAGTGACGAGGTCAGGTCAGGGCCATACTGGAAATAATAGGAAACAGGGCAGAAGATATAATAATATAATGAAATGACAGAGAAGTGAACAATGAGAAATTACAGAAAGATAACAACACAGCAAATAGAGGTAAACACATTGGGCGCTCCCGAGGTACCGCCTCGTAGTCCCACAAGTAAATACACAATAGGGGTGCTCCCGAGGTTCCGCCTTGTAGTCTCAAAAGTATGCAACAGGGGCACTTCCGAGGTACCGCCTCGTAGTCCCAAAAGTAAATACACAACAGGGGTGCTCCCGAGGTACTGTCTTGTAGTCCCAAAAGTAAATATGCAATAGCGGTACTCCCGAGGTATTACCTTGTAGTCCAATAAGTAAATACGCAACTCATAACCAATGGAAAAACAAATTTACAGCAAGGAATCCTATAGTTAAAGACTGAATACAAAATCAAGAAAAGCAGGTAATTCAACTAAGCATATTGCAAAAATTGCAAGTACGAGTTAAGACACGTAGACATGCGACATTAGGCTAAACATGATGACTACACATGCTAGAGCAAAAATAGGTCTAAGAGAGATCTAGCTGACATTAAGTGTTACAAGTGTAGTAAATTTGGCCATATAGCCCCGAATTGTAAGTTTCAAAAGCTGAAAACCTTAGGACTAGACGATGAGTTACGTGATAAGGTTTATGATTTGTTATACACTTCTGGATCAGAATCTGATTATTATTCTGAGTCAGAATCCGAAGCTGAAATAGATTTACTTGATTTATCTGATAGTGATAAAAATATTGATAATACTTGTACAACTAGCAAAGGTAATACATGTACTTGTGATGATGATGAATTTTATAAATTGCAATCACAGTTTCAAGATTTGAACATGAAATCTATTACATCTGATAATGTAATAGAACTTTTAAAAGAAGTTACTGATGAAAAATTTCGTAAAAAAATTATTAATTTGGCTGCTAGTTCAAGTTCTAATTCAAGTTCTAGTTTTGCAAAACCTTTTGAAAAAGAATTTGAATATTCCCCGCCTTATTCTTTACTAGAGGTTAATAACCGTCTTTTAAATAAAAATACAACTTCAGCAAGAGATTCTTCTTTCGATGATTTAAAGGTTGAAGTTGAAAACTTGAAATGAGAGATCAAATCTCTTAAACAAAATCAAATGATTTGTGATCATAGGATTATTCAGATTGAGAAAATCAATTCTCCAGCTGAAAAATCTAATGATAAAAACAAAGGTATTTTTGAAAATGATATTGAAGAAAAACCTATTAATTTTGATCCTAAACATGATATGTTTTTGGGAATGATGCAGATTATTACTGCTCATAAATGGTACTCAACATAGATATGAAGTCTCTTAGCCGTACATCGTCACGGCCAGAGAGAAGAGACTAGAAGAAAAACTAACTAAGAAAGAAATCAGTACCTTTTGGCCGGGATGCAAGGCCTGAAGATGAAGAACTGAAAACTTTATTTACTTTGTTCTTCTGTTACAAACTACAAACTCTTAATTACAACTTTAGAGAGAGAGAGAGAGTTTTAGAGAGAGAGAGGATCTCGCTTCGCTTCTCCTTCTTCTGAACGAATGAAACGTATAAATAGAAAAGAAAAAGAATCTATGAACAGTAAAAGTGGGTCCCTGTTACAGTATTTCTACTGTTGATGAACAGTGTATCTACTGTTGATGAACAGTGTATCTACTGTTTGAGTGGGGTCCGACGGCTTCACTGTGATGTGGGTCCGGCGGCTTCACTGTGCTGGTCTCTTGTCTGATTCTTTCATTTTGCGGAGGAATTCTTCCGCATTCTGCAAATCTTCGTCAGATAGTATTTTCTGTGATTCAAAGGGCTGAGAATCTTCAGCGATTTCATCGTTGCTGGTTTCACTCTGCATAGAAGTGTCTGATTTCTCATATTGATTAATGGAACGAAGTAAATTTCTTTTGACTTCTTCCAAGTAGTTGTTAATCATTTCTTCTTTATCTCCTTCCTGAAAGGAGATCTTTCTGGCAATATGCCGTACTGAGCTGTCATCAATTACCTCTTTCTGAGGTTTGCTGGAATATTCTTGGATTTTTGTTTTGATTGAATCCAAGAGTTCTTGACCATATAATGTCTTTGTTTTGGGATCCTTTTTCATTAGTTTATCCCAAAAGTTGTTGTAAAAGGTCCTGTATAAGCATGGGACTTGTTCTTCGGTGAATCCAACTTCTGGAGTCCATTTATGAATCCAGGGAATAGAGAATTCCAGGAAGAAATAAATCTGGTCAATTTTTTCTGGGTAACAGATATGATCTGTGTGATATAAATTGTTTATAAAAGGGGAAATTTTTATCCATTCTTTGTATAACACGAGAAATGGATCAGGTAAAAATTTTACTGTTGGACCGTGGTATGACCACCAGTTTAGAAATCAATTAGGAATAGCCTCTGCAAATATCTTTGCACATACTTTAATAAATCAAGTATGTTTGTATCGATCATTATTGTAGTATAACACTTTATCAAATGCCTGGATATAATCCCAATAGATAAAATTCATTCGAGATTTGTTAAGACTTATCTGCCTTTCTTTCATTGTGGATATACCCAGTCTTCAACAGATATAATCTGTTTAATTATAATCTTCGAGAAGTTATAAACGTTCTCGTTTGTGCTATAACCAGAAAAGTGCTGAAACTCTGCACTGCCAGTACTGGTGAGTATTGTTTCATAATAAGAGCGGGTTTTGTATGACTCACCCGGATAATACAATCCATTTATCAAATATCTTTGGAATATCTTCCATAGCTCTTCCTTTCTCTGAATATCAGAATTTTCTAAAAGAAATATCATTTCTTTTTTAGACACTTTCTCATATAACTTGATATCATCATTGTCATCTTTTGTAATGGAAGAAAAAGTATCACTTTGCTTAGCAGAAGTATCTTTCTGTTTTTGAGCAATCAAATATGCTTGCAAATGTGCGTATAACGGACTATCTTCTGGAATATCTTTCAGTTGGACGGATGGTCCGATCGATGATTCTTCTATGAGAGATATCCTCTCATTGGTTAAACACTTTTTTTCCATTTGTATAACTGGGGAGTTTGATGTGGATCCGTATGACGATCCTGAAGGTGATGATCTTCCTCTAGACTATGGGGATGATCTTCCCCAACCTCTACCTCTTCCCCTACCCCAGGGGGTTCCATCCTGTAAATATTCACGAGATAAGAAATCTGGCAGAGAATTATCAATTCCCTTTTTGTATTGCATTTCAAAATCAAAAGGGGCTAATTGAGCCTGCCATCTTGCAAATATCATTTTTGAGGCATCATGTTTAAAGTCTTTGTTAAACATATATTTAACAGATTGTGCATCAGTTTTTATCAAAAACTTTTGATTGTATAAATTATCTTGAAATTTTAAAACACATTTTACTATGGTTAACATTTTATGTGCCACAGTAGCGTATTTTTTCTGGGCTTCAGACCATTTACCAGAGTAGAATCTAATCAGATATTTATGCTTATTATTGGGATTTATTTGTTTCAAAATCCCTCCGTAACCAATATTAGACGCATCGGTCTCGATAATCTTTTGCCATGCAGGATTAGCAAGGGTCAAGCAAGGTAAAGATTTAACACGTTGCTTAATATTTTTAACCAAAGTAGTATGACTATCAGTCCAAGGGTTTTTATAATTCTTTTTTAGCCTATCATATAAGGGGGCTAAATCACGTGACAAATCTCTATAAAAAGGTGATAAATAATTTAAACTTCCCAAAAATCTTTGTAACTGAGTTCTATCAGTAATAACATCGGGAAGTTTTGAAGCAAAATCAATCGATCTTTGAATAGGAGTAATCTTTCCTTGACAAATATAATATCCTAAGAATCGAATGTTAGTTTGGAATAAACTCATTTTTTGTTTTGAGATAACCAAACTATTTTGTATAATAATTCTTTTGAAAATATCTAAATGCTTAATATGCATTTCAAGTGTTTTGAAAAATACCAAAATGCCATCGATATAAACAATGATAAAGTCTAGATAGGGGTTGAAAATATCATTCATAATTTTTTGGAATTCAGAAGGGGCATTATTCAGACCAAAAGGCATAATATTCCATTCATATTGCCCAAATGGAACATTAAAAGCAGTCCTATAAGTATGTTCTTTAAATATTTGAATCTACCAATATCCAGATTTTAAATCGAATTTTGAAAATATATTGGCATCATATAATCTTGACAATAAATCTCTTTTATTGGGAATAGGATACCTAACCCACTTCAAATATTTATTCAAGGGTTTATAATTAATGACTAATCTAGGAATACCACGTTCCTTTTCAGCTGCGTTATTAACATAAAAAGCTGTGCAAGACCAAGGAGACTTTGAGGGTTTTATCAAACCCTTTTGTAACAAGTTATCAATCTCCTTTTTGCAGAATTCTACTAATTCTGCGTTCATCTGACAAGGTCTAGATTTAGTAGGAATATCATCCTCAGAGAAATTATCTTCATAAGGCAGAGTTACAATATGCTTTTTTCTATTCCAAAAAGCACTAGGATGTTCTGCACAAATATCAATAGCAATACTTTCGAAGATCAATTTGATCTTTTTCTGTACTTTAGTAGAATTCAAAGTATCAAATATATTCATACTAAACAATTCTAACTACAAAGAATCAATATGTTTCTGTTTCATATCAATTAAAGCATTAATATCTCTAGTTACTGGATCTGTAACAAAAGTATAACTTATCTCTTTATCCTTATAAGTAGCAGTAAAACCTTTCGAGTCTATGCTAGTAAAAGGATAAATGGCTTTAATAAACAGTGTCCCAAGTATAATAGGAGGGTGTAACTGGTTTTTAACCAAGAAAAAGAAGTGAGGAATACAGACTTTATTTTGACAGATGCCCGTATTAGAAAGTTTATACTTTATATCTAAAGCATGTCCGGATGCAGATCTAACCATATGAGTAGTTTTTTGAAAATATTTCGTAGGTACTAAACCTTCTTGAATGCAGCTAACATCTGCTCCACTATCAATCATGGCAATGTTTGTAATTGAGAAACTATTATCAATGAGAATAGTACATTTGATGTACCATTTATGAGCAGTAATAATTTGCATCATTCCTAAAAACATATCATGTTTAGGATTAAAATTAATAGGTTTTTCTTCAATATCATTTTCAAAAATACCTTTGTTTTTATCATTAGATTTCTCAGCTGGAGAATTGATTTTCTCAATCTGAGTAATCCTATGATCACAAATCATTTGATTTTGTTTAAGAGATTTGATCTCTCGTTTCAAGTTTTCAACTTCAACCTTTAAATCATCGAAAGAAGAATCTCTTGCTGAAGTTGTATTTTTATTTAAAAGACGGTTATTAACCTCTAGTAAAGAATAAGGCGGGGAATATTCAAATTCTTTTTCAAAAGGTTTTGCAAAACTAGAACTTGAATTAGAACTTGAACTAGCAGCCAAATTAATAATTTTTTCACGAAGATTTTAATCAATAACTTCTTTTAAAAGTTCTATTACATTATCAGATGTAATAGTTTTCATGTTCAAATCTTGAAACTGTGATTGCAATTTATAAAATTCATCATCATTACAAGTACATGTATTACCTTTGCAAGTTGTACAAGTATTATCAACATTTTTATCACTATCAGATAAATCAAGTAAATCTATTTCAGCATTGGATTCTGACTCAGAATAATAATCAGATTCTGATCCAGAAGTGTATAACAAACCATAAACCTTATCACGTAACTCATCGTCTAGTCCTAAGGTTTTCAGCTTTTGAAGCTTACAATTCGGGGCTATATGGCCAAATTTACCACACTTGTAACACTTAATGTCAGCTAGATCTCTCTTAGACCTATTTTTGGTAAATCTAGTAGCCTTACGATTGGCTTTCTTAGTTTCTCGTTCTTCTTTGGATCTATATCTAGATCTCTTTCTCCTATAAGGACTGTTTTGGTTGGGGTATTTATGATACTTATGTTTTTTCTTGTTATGAGTAGAAATCTCAGGTAGACCGAACTGAGTACAAAAATCTCCTAACTGGGATTTTTCTTTAAGCTTATCCATCTTAAGCTGTCTGGATAATTTTAACTCATTGCACAAGTTTAATCCTTCTTGTGTGCATATCCCTATCAACTTACCATAGGTATAATTGTTGTACGGGATTTCACCATCTTAGAACCTTTTTAACCCTTTCAGCAAATAAAAAGGGAAGGCCATCTATAAACCTAGCTTTCTAATGGTCAAATTTGTTTTCGGGTAATTCCATAACCCTGCTCATAAAGGTATCTTTATACCATCTGAATTCACCTAATGTCTTACATCTAAAACCATAAAGGAGAGTACGAACTGTCTCATGCTGGTTGGTAAATCTACCGTTGAAGTATTCTAATATAGTAAGAATAAGAGTATAAACAACATCTTCTCTATTTGCCACTAGGGCCATGCCTAAGTTATCAACTCCTTCATCAGGGGCTTGAGCATTAATAACCATTGCTCTTTCTTCGACAGTCAAATAATTATCCCACCAACCACGAAGTTGGCCAGTAAAACCTGCAACAATCATTTTGCAAATAGTTCTATCTGTATTTTTCACACTTTTACAGATAGTTGCATACATAAGCATTCTATGCACAAGAATAGTCAATTGTCTATCAGTCAATCCATCAAGATTCCACTCGTAAATTTTGGAACCACTGTAAGACGTATTAGTCTGATTCCAATCACGTTCCTCTATTAAAACATCTTGAGGAGTAAGACGATTGTAATAATAAGTTTGCATTCTGGGTTTATCAGTATATCTGCTATCAGCAAACTTACTATTCTTTTTGGGATAACCTCTGAGCTTATTAAACTCTGACAAAACATACTTTTTATAGTCCAAAGTAGTATCTAATTTATCAGCAAAATCTTTTGATAAATTAATGGGTTTGATATTCAAACCGGATAATTTTTTATCAAGAAGTTCTTCTAAATCATTTAAAAATGTAAATTTAAAATCCTGAATCTTAGGAGGTCTTTGAACATGAGTAAAAACAATTTGAGGTTCTGATTTGCTTCCTGAAGTAGATGCAATATCAGTTATTTTCTTGCTAGTACTCATCTCTTTTATCAAAGCTGTCAAGTCAATAAGTTTTTTATCAAGAGAACTTATGTGTTCACACAAAACTTTAACGTATAAACTCAAATAATTATTTTGAGAAATTAATTTATTAATTTCTGCGATGCTGACTGCAGCAACATCTTCATCAATAAATTTTTGAAATGCAGTAAAAGTAATACCTGTATTATTAGGTAAAACAAAAGGTGCTTGAGGAGGGTAAGTGGCTTTAGTAATATTGCCACTCCCGTCTTTATAAGATCTTTCCAAAACTTTTATAAAAAGTGATAAATATGTGGTTATAAACCAAGGAACAAAATATATAATTTGATTATGTAAAGCACAAGCTTCATAGAATTCTTGAGAAATATTGTTTAAGTCCTCGTTATTATAATTATCAAAAAACTAAGTTTTAAACCGGTTCCATTTATCATTAAAAAATATCTTTTGAATATAACCTCTAGCTTATGACCCTGGACTAAAATTAATTTGGTGTGAAATCATTTAAACTTCATTTGGGTCAAAATCCATTTCGGACGCAGAAGGAATATCCTTATCAGAAATATTATCATTATCCAGAACAATATTTGTCTTGGGGGTTAATTTTAACCCTTTCAACAGGTTTATCACCTACTTTAGTAGAAATTGTGTGTAGAGATGCAACACGATTTCTAGCTGGTCCATAGACTGGTTCAACAAGAGAAATGTGTTGAATATCAGGCGACAGTCTACGATTGGTAAAGGAATGTCTATTATAATTAGTACTAATAGCAGGCAACAGTCTATTATTGGAAAATGACTGTCTACTATAAGTGGAACTATTATCATCAAACTGAATGCAAATCCTTCCATCCGGATTTTGAGTAATATGAGAATACTCAGTATTACTGACAACATTAGTTATCTGATTGGGGGATATAACCGAATCCAAAGTCCATGTAGTTGGAAAATTAATTTCTTCCCACTTAATAGGTCTTCTCGTGGTGACCTTAGACTTTGCAAAATTTATTTCTACTAGTATAGTCTGATCAGATGTATCATATAATTTACATCTAGGGTTTAACGTAGATAGCAATTTAAA